GCAGAGTCTGGCTGCATCTGACATTTATTCCACTCCTGTACTAACTTAACTAAATGCAATAACTAAATATATATAATATACGTAGCACAAGCTTTCACAAACCCAAGTTCACTTCATCAAATGCTGTGAAAGGATGTGCAGAAAAAACATAAGTCGGTGTGTGTGCATTTAACTATAAGTCAGTCTATAAAGGTGCATACATACCCTGCCTTCTGACTGAAATGACTAACTACCCCCCTCCTCCCACCCACGTATGAAAGATACAGATCATGAGATCTGCTTGGAAAATAAGACTATTTCTTAACACTGAACAGTGTACAGTGACTGAACTGTCACTCTATTCGCCTTGTTAAACCACCACATAAGCTCCTGTATTTGAAGGACTAAAAATCATTCATAGTTAAAAAAAATAAAAATAAAAAAATTAATGCAAACCAAGCTTTGTGCACCAACATTGCCTTGTTAAAAGGTTTGCACTATTTTTACACAAAACTAATATAGAAGACAAAAACATTTATGATTTTAGAAATACAATGTTACAACATTACAGCGTACAAATTTGCTTCTATGTTACCCTGCACAGACAATGGATTACACATTAAATGTTCAGGCTACAAAGGTTGGAACATACAGATTTAAAAAAAATATTCAAGTGTTGCTGAAGCACAAGAAGGCTTCAAGTAGACGCTATCATGGCACGTAATTTCTACTATCAAGAAGGCTTAGCAACCCATTATGTTGACATTAGCAGAGCAGTTCATGAAACCAATTTCACTCGTTGTCCCGCAAACCAGCATCCCCCTACAAACAAAGCCTATCCTGATAGAGAGCTCCCTGCTATTATACATAATCTTTATTAGAAAGTCTCAGTTTATGCCAAACTAACACTTAGCATGAACATTTACATCAGACCACGGCCAAAGAGCTTGCAAACAAGGAAGAAGTTCCTCATTTGCAAGCTTTTTGGGCAGTCTCTTAGTTCTGCCTTTATGGTGAGGCTTAGCACAGCCGCTGGGGGGAAGAGGTCTATTGCTGGGGTATGCAGGCATTACAGCCATGTTTCTAAATCCCTGGATATCCAAATGGAATGAGTCAGAATCCTATTTGAAGCAGCACTTATAGTGTTTGCTTTGTTTTAAACAAACAGATTTTGGGCTTGTCTACATTAGTCAAACCAAGCCAGTTTTTAGACAAGCTAATGCTTACATTGAGTTGAAGGCAGATCTTAAGCCGTATCTGAACTGTTCTATGGATGCTCTTTAAGCCCTTTTTAATTTCCAATTCTGTGGTGCTGACTTCCTACTGGTTTCAATAGTGTACTTTTCACTGGCTGTGTCTACATGAGACGCCAACTGTGCAGCTCACAGTTACTGCAGTCATTGAGTACTTGGTTATACAAGTACTCAATGACTTTGCAGGCAGTACTTTGTCTACATGCAGCCACTGTGTCGCACCTGATGGCTCACCAGCTTCCTTGCTCTGACAATATATAACCTGGCTTATTGCTCTTACCCCTTTCCACATAATCATCTTGCTTTCTCTCAAGGGAATGTTTTTGAAACCATGATATGCCACTTGCAGAAACAAGATGTAGTGAATGCGTTAACACTATCTTTTCCACTCTTAAATGGCTGAGATGCCCTGGCTCTCTCAGACTTTTCCAGCACATCTCAGTTTTTGTGATCAACCCAGCAAGTTAAGTAATTATTTCCATAATCCCAAGGAAATACAGTTTTAGCATCAGGACATTCCTGCCATAGAACACAAACATAGATATAATATAGTACACAATTAGTGAAGCAGGACAGACCTTTCATTTTCAAACATATTATAAATTGAGCAAAATTTACTCTGTACATTGCTTTAGCTAATCTATTCTTTATGATACACTGTGTTAGTATGTGAGCAGCAACAAAATAACAGTCCAGAAACTTTTCAGCTCTAATATTTGTTTACTAGTTCTTGACAATGGGATTTGTTCTACAAGGTCTCTCTTTCTTACAAGGCATTATTTATTATATAACATGTAGAACATAGGTGAGAAGATAGGAATTTCTCACTGTGTCACCTTATAAAATAAAACTGCACGAGAAATAAACTACAGGATCATTTCCTAGTGTGCCAGCAGCAACCTAACACTGGCCTTTTAGACTGGAAAACCTAATGCTGTAGGAACAAGGATTTAAAGGTTGATTTGTCCTAATCTGAAGTCACTATGCAATAGCAGGTTTCGCGTTAATGCTTCATCCCACATGTGAGATGGTTCTACAGCTTAATACTCCATTCTATAGCTGCAAGGCAGGTATGCACCTGTGCCTCGTTTTATAATATTCATAGACATATTTTGCCTGCAAGTGCAAGAGCTAATACTCTGTATCTTGTATTAAGCAAAAATCTCATAGAAATGGTGTAAGTGGTAAAAATGAAATGGAAAAACCCAAAGCAACTGCTTTAAAAACAAAACAAAATGAAACAAACCCAAGAAACCTAACCCCTAAAAAAAAAAAGAAAAACCACAAAAAAAAAACAACGAATTGGGAAAGTTCCGTGCATGGTGGTACCCTGTTCCCCACACATGCAAAAAGCCTGTTAAGGTTAGCACAAAACCAAAATGCAATTCAGGGCAGCATGCTAGCAAAGTTTCATCCTGATTTGACTATATAGTTCATGATTCAACAAAACATACAGGCGTTTTTTATTATTGGGAATTAGCAATGATAAAATATGATGGTGCCAATCTTTTAACAGTGGTCACAGTATCATTACCATATTATTTCACAGTATCACTATGGTTTGCTTTTTCCTTTAAAACATGCTTGTTTCTCCTGTACATCTCTAAAACCCACTCTCTTTGTTCATGACTACACCCCAGAAAATATTTTAAAAAAATCAGCCCGTTATCAGTTGAAACAGAGCTAGTCCAGAGCAACTGCTATTTAGTATTTTCACTGCAAAATAAATACTAAATATCTCTCCTTTTGTAAGGAAGGTTCACAACAGGAAAGGTAGGCAGATAAGCAAGTTCACAATATTGCAATCTTCCAGATTCATTAGAAATAGCCAAAGGATGCAGGAACAAATCATAAGAATTTAAAATGCAACAAGCCAAAAAGTTATATTCAAAAGAAAAAAAAAGTTTAATATGAAGTGCAGGACCAAAATCAAGTTTTCTGATCAACTAGTTGTTTTGCCCTTATCTTTGTCCCCAGATATGAGTTTCCAGAGAATTTGCTGCATTTAATTGGAAGTAAAGCTCATTGCTGAGATTCACATTATACTTATGATTTGAGCTGTAGTACAGATCACTTTGAAATGTATCAGTTACTCCTTACTATATCAGCAAGTTATCACCTAAAATGGTTCTGTATAACTTAGAAAAATATGCCCTGGAGATTAGATTAATTATAGATCAAAAATAATGTTTTCTAGATAAATGCGATGCAAAAATGATTTTTGGTTAAACTGAGAAGCCATATTTTGCTAATGACATTGTAAGGGTGCATCCTTAAATTTGTGGCTGTGATATCTTACAATTGCTACAAGCATATTTAACTAACTGCTCTCCAACATGCAAGTTTTTTAGCCTCAAGAGCTACCTTCTGGGATTATGGAAAGTGCATTATCTGTTCCATTGCTCCAAACAAAAATGTAAACTATATACTTGTATTACCATGTCCGACTAGTACAAAACAATGCTCAGTTTGATTCTGTGCTCCCAAAATGGAGCAAAGGCCCATAAAACATGAACGAAGCTAGTGTTTTAGTCCTACTGGCATATTACTCAGTTTCTTTTGAAACTAGTAAGTTAACAGAAGGAATCGATACATAATTTTAACTTAATAATTGACTTCAACCAACATTTTGCTTAGCTGTTCTTGCCTGCTCCAAGATGTGCACAAAAAAATTCCAAAAAACAAAAAAACCCAAACTGCACACATTCAGCCCAGCCTATTTGTTTCAATTTCAGGTGAAGATCTTCTCAACCTTGCCAAGTTGAGGTTGAATAACTTTTGTTTTAGTCTTTAGCCAAATATTGGTATTCAGATGAGATGAGCATAAATCTTGTTCTATTCATACAGACTTCCAGTGTTGAGGCATTAACCTCCACTTTGTTGTATGTGTACACCGTACATTATGAAGAAAGTTCTTACTCAATCCACAACTACTCTGTTTACAGTCCATAGGCATCAGATGGTGATATTCACTTTAATCTTGCTTGCCTTCCCGCCACTGCCGAGAACCTTCATTCCACGCTACATAGACAAACAGAGCAAGTACCACATGAACAGCAACAACAGCAACTATGGCAGCATAAAAATAGCTGTCTCTGTTGGACATTCCAAAGGTACCTGAGAAAGTAAGACACAAACGATAGCGTACATTAGTTCACAAGAATTTGCTGATTTACATTAAGACACCGAGCTGAATTGTGTAGTAGTTACAAAATACCAGATTACACAAATGTTTCTGTACAGACAGGGATCACTAGGCCAAAATTCACAACAGTAACAGATTTCACACTCATGTTATAGTTGGGATGACAGCTTTTAACAAGCACTTCCATTACCTTTCAGAAATGCAGCTTTTTAAACCTTCATGGCATTTGTAAAAGCTCATTTTCGAACATCACCTAAGCCTCTGCACCCTGATAGTAACTTTTATTCCCTTACAGGCAGGAAAGTCTTAGGAAGAACAGTTAAGTGATTCACTTAGACTGTAAGTGTGAATTAGCAGTCTGGAATTCTTGCCTTCTATGCTCAAGCCGCTAACTCATGCTTACTAACTGGAAGCAACATAAAAACTAGTAATGAAGTAAGTTACTGGACTATGAATTTAGCCTCGTATGATGTGCACTACATAACTGAAGTTAAAAGATACGATGATTCACAAAAGTCCAAAACGGGTTAGCATTTTGGAAGAAAAAGGAACATTTTCTATCCATTTTCCATCTTCAGATATCTTTGAACTGTGTACATAATACCCCATACGTGCATGGGCTTGTTTGGAGGCAAGACTGTTTCTAAAGAGCAGTGTGCAGCTACAGAGGACGGTGGCTCCGACGTGGAATTTGACTGAGATACTGAAGTTCTAAAAGGCAACCAAGCGACAGTCAAAAATTTGTTACTTATGGCAATATGATCATATATTAAGAACGTGCAAGTCTAAAAGATTTTTCAGTCTTAAATGTCTTCCCTGTATGATCGTTCATTAAATTAACAATGTTAGATTGCAATACATTTCCATACTTCAAACTCAGCGACATTATTCTCCTATATAATGGGTATGAATAACTAGAACTATTTTCAGGATATTACTTGCTATAACCCAAAATGAACTGCCTGTAAATCTTGTTACGATTAACACAGTTTGGCAAGACAGATTTCAAAAGTGAATATATCAAGGAATAATTTTTTTCTGCAGGTGTTTCTAATACTTTTTCCACAGGCACAAACTTTAGCTTTCAGAACTGTATGTAGCCACACACACCAAAGAGAGCCAAGTTAGTTTTGGGAAACTCTTCAAATCTGTGATATATTTACCAAATCCTCTTTCCTTAAAGAGGAAGTTCCATTTTTAACAGCAAGATGTTCCATCATCAGAAGTTCCCTTGTTCTTGCCCGTTTATCATGCTGCAGAATCTGTGGTCGTTGTTGGTTTATTATTAAACATCTGACAGTGCTATACTCCACATTACCAGCTAAAGCCTCAATTTACAGGAAGAGGATGGAATTCCACAGGCAATCATGTTCAGCTTCTGTTTGACCTTGTAACGTTACGTTACAAAAAAAATATGGGTTACTGAAGCATGGAATTATTCCATCTTGAACATTATTTTCCACTGCAACCTTATGATTCCCACACACTTTAACAAGCGCAGGCCTTGAAATATTTGTTATATAAACAGATCTCAGATTTTATATTTACACAGGTGGCTTTTCCAATGAAATGGTTGACACAAGATGCCAAACTAATTCAGTTATTCAAATGGTCCTGCCCATTAAAATAATCAATTTACTTTCTAGCCCCAAATTCAAAACATTTCCTTTTTACGCCAAGGCATTTATACTACAAAGAATTATAGAAGAGAGACGAACACAGCAACACTGACACAAAGCTTTTCCTCTTGCAAGCGTTTCCAATTAGCAAAAAGAGAATTACCTTCAAATACATAAGCCTTTGAAGAAAAATACAGCCCAATAGGTAGTGTGATCATTAAAGCAGTGAAGAACAGGAGTGTTCTTAAAGTTGACGTTATTGAACCCTCATTTCTGAAATAAACCAGAAAGAAAAGTAAACACAGAAGGAAATCACAACGTGCAGGTCTGACACGCTACATAACTTTGCTTCTGCAGGAAAAAATACCCAACAACAGCTTACATCTTTGTTGTGATGCCTTGCGTTTGCTCTGTAGATTAGAAGAACAGAGCTTTGCGCTCAGTGGTGGCATTAACAAGTCTTCAAGGTCAGAAGTAGCCAAGACCACGTCGTACCATTAAAAAATTACAACTTGACAAATAGTGACATCACTTTTTGAACTCCTTAGCCCTCACTTTGACGCACGTTTGGTAAAGCACTCAAGGGAGCTACGGTTTAAAAACCACGTTTCTACCAGTTTTCATATTTGTGTATCTGTGGACTCGTGTGTTAAGTCAGCGCGCCCACGTGATCGACCCATTCTCCCGTCCTGTTTGTGGGAAAAATCCCCAAGGATCACGTAGGATATTTTACGCCTGCTCCAGGGGCGGAGGCGCTTGCTCTAATCAGCGTGGCTGGCAGCCGCTCTAATCAAAGCGCTGCCACGTCTCACGTACCAGTGCCCCCGCGCTTACACGTGGCAGCGGGGGCGCCTGAATACAGCTCGTTCGATCAAGCACCCCCACGGCCACTTTTAAGCGCGGGGACGCGGACACCCGAGACACGGGAGGCTGCTGCGGCGCGGCCATCGAGACTCCATTAATCCGACGTGCCGCAATTCCAGCGCATCGGAGCGGCCTCCGCCTTCATGTGTCAGCGCCCTTAAAAAAAAAAAATCAGGAAAGCAAGACACGGTTTGAACGTCTGCTACTCAAGTGGCTGTTATGGGAGCAGGGCAGTTTGCATAAGGATGACTCTGCCTCAGGTTTTAGTGCAAGTTTCTCTTCCTCCTCCTCCTGCGGGGAGGCCCGTCTCCGTCTCCGAGATCTCGATGGATCGGGAACCGGCTCAGTCTACGCCTCGTTCCCGCCGGATCCCACCGGCTCGGCTGGCGCGTTTGCTCCAAACCGGTTCTGGAGGCACCCAGGCGCTGCCCGGCAAGGTCACCGCGCCCCTGCCCCAGCAGGCGGGAATTTGGACGTGCAAAGGGCTGCAAGGCGGGCAGGAGGGCGGGCACGGCCCGGCTCTAAAACCCTGTCTGCACGGTGGCGGGGGGGGGCAACTGGAATTTGAAGTCGCTGGTTTCAGTGGTCGGAAGCGATCCGAGGAGGCGCCCCGTCCCGCCCCGCAGAGCTCGCAGCAGGGGAAAGCCGGGCCCTCCCCCCACAGCCGTGCCGCGCGGCTCCCCGCTCCTTACTGCCGGGGCTCGGGGGGCGCCAGCGCGTTGAGGGCCGCCTTGTCGTAGCGCTCCATCACGCTCCCCTCACACTACAGCGCCGCGCACTCCGCTTCCGGCCACGTGACTACTCCCTCCCCGCCAATCAGGTGATTCCAAGCCGGTCAGGCGACCTCCCCCTCCTCCGCGCCAATCAGGTGAGTCCAAGTCGGTCAGGTGACCTCCCCCTCCTCCGCACCAATCAGGTGACTCCAAGCAGGTCAAGTGACTCCCCCCTCCTCGGCGCCAGTCAGGTGAGTCCAAGGCGGTCAGGTGACCTCCCCCTCCTCCGCGCCAATCAGGTGACTCCAAGCCGGTCAGGTGACCCGAAGCTGGGAGACAGGGAGCAGAGGGAGCGAGTAGCCCGCTGGGTGTGTTCCAATGGCCACTAGGCCACGCCCCGGTTCCCCCTCAGCCAATCAGGGCTCCTCCCTTCTTAGAGCGCTCCGCTGAGGAAAGGGGCGGGGCTAAGCCAGGGCTGGAGGGGGGGGCAGTGTTGCCGTCATTACCGTATTTATACGATAATTTCAGCCCTTGTACCATGTGCCACCCATAGCAGTATAAATGTTCAAAATGAAGTAAATCAGGGGGAAAAAATGTTAACAGGGTAGAGAGGGGCGTACTTGGTAGCCGTGTTGGTCTGAGACAAGAAGACACAAAAAACTAGAACTCTTGGTGCCAAAATGATACCTTTTATTAGACCAACTGGGAAATTGCAAGAAAATTGTCCTTTTCTGCAGGGAAAAAAAAGGAAAGTGTCCTTCCCTGCAAAAAGAATTGTCCTTTTCTGCAGGAAAAGAGAGAGGGAAGAAAAAGGACAATTTTCTTGCAATTTCCCAATTGGTCTAATAAAATATATCATTTTGGTACCGAGAGTTCTAGTTTTTTGTATGTCAACACCATAGAGAAACTCTTCTTGACCCAGCTGGGAGAACAGCTCTAAGGAAGCCAAATAATCAGGCTGCCTGGTGCTACGGTTAGGGACCTACTTAATTCACTGATTTTGTGGAAACTGTGAAATTGGGGATTGTTTGCAAAAATCAACAACAAAAAGAACTAGTGCAAATAAAAAGCTGGCTCCCCGGTGGGAGCCCTGGTCCTCACTGCTGGGAGGGGAAGGTGCCCGCTGGTGCAAAAACCCCTTTGTCTCGCTGCAGTTTAAGTAGGTCCCGAGCTAGGGTTTTCCAGAAGACGCGTTTCCCCCAAGTAAGGAGGGGAGCCATGCTTTTTCTAGGGGCATTTCTGTGCGGAGCCGCGCCGACTTTGCATCACTTGATCTGCTTCCATTCAGTTCATTCCTTCACATCATCGCAGTCCTTCTGGGAGCCGTAGTGCCCACAGGCCTTCAAAAGGGAAGAAACCCTTCTCGCACCCCAGTGCACGGAGACAACAAGGCCGACTTTATTCCACGAGGGTGAAAATCAGTAATTGGCCTGTCCTTGGACCAGCTGGTTTTATGAATGGCGCTGACAGCATGACTGTGTTTCATTAGCATTCCTGGAAATGTCCCCCGACAGATCAATCACAGTGCGATGGGGGGCTGGACTAGGTCCCTTCCAGCCCTACTTTCCTATGATCCTATGTGACATGTGGTGGGTTTTATCAGGAGACAAACGTTTGAGATGTGCCCCATTACTGAATCATTTCTCGAAGCAATGCATGGGCCGTCAAGATCAAGGCCACATGGTCACAAAACAGGTAGAGATTCCTAGATTGTTAAGGGCTGGAAGGGACCTTGTAGATGATCAGGTCCAGTCCCCCTGCACTAGGCAGGGTTGCTTTTTTTTGTATTTTGGGGGTGGGGGGGGGGTTGTTTGTTTGTTTTAATCCTTGGACTTGATTTATTTAGGGTCAGTTGTACATACATGAACTACAGCTCAAGAGTCTACCTTATTCTACAAGACAGATAGTGAAACGCTGGCCTAGGATGTCTGCTTTACATTTGGGATATATGAAACATGGATTGCTTGTAGAGTTGTGGCACTGGACAGCCTTCAAAAGCTACGACTAGGGAACCTCCTAGCTCCTCAATACAAGTTTGGTTGAGATCCTCTGGCCCATTTGCTTGGCATTCATGCTTTATGCCTTGAAATTTCTTTTTGAAGCATCCTTGGAGCTTGCGTAGATCATCTTGCTTTTCAAAGGAGCTAGTTCTGGTGCCCACAAAAAAAAATTCAATGCTTCCTTTTTTTTGGATTCCTTTGTTTATGTGCCTGATTCACTGTCTTCAGCATGCTCTCGGGGTTTCACGCTCCAGTCCAGCATTGTAGAAGAGGATAAATTATTATACACGGAACAAGAGGAGTGCGTATAACAAACAGATCTTTACATGCTTCCATGTGGTTTGCTTCCATGTGCTTCTTTGTAATTCATTACGTGTAAAACAGATTTATGTGCCTCCTGCTTTTGCTCAACCAGAATATTCCCCCCCGCACAAAATCAAAGGAAAACTGTATATCGTGTGGAGCCTGGGTAAACTTCTCAAAGAGCAGCCTGCTGTGTAAGTGAAATGTGTGCCAGAGCAGTAATGAGACCTTTGGGAATGTTAAATGGGCATGGCACTGACTGAAGAAACAATCTTGCCCCCCTGGAGCTGCTCTGCAAGCATTTGGACTCTCAGATTCACGGCGTAAACAGTTTGGCATAGCCCAGACATTGTGCCCTGGCACAGCACTCAAGCTCACAAGGAAGAGGAGCAAGGGAATACCATTTTCAAAGGAGTGGAAATCCAAACCCATTTATTCTGATAGTAAATTTCTCTCTTGGGATCATGCGTAATTAAGAACCTTGATTTTTTTTTTCCTTGTGGTTTGGCCCCCTCTGTCAAGAGTGGATGGATTTTGTTGAATTAGAAAATTTACGTGTTTGCTTTTCAGTGGTGAATGCAATTCTAAAGAGACTCGTAGTCCTGCTTGTTATTTCAGTCGGCTGTGTTCAGACTGCTGTACAAGAGCAAAGAAAGACATGGAGCTTATGATCTCTGTTCCACAGCTGATCAGGATCCAGTCTCTAAGCAATGCAGAGCTCCAGTGCAGTTCAATCGTCTTTCTCCTTACAGTGGCTGTCCAGGTACCTGGGCTAGAGAGAGCGAGTATGCATGCGGGAGCCTAAGTCCTTAGATGCCAATTCCTGTTCCAATGAACTAGTCATATAACGTGAAACATGTTCAATCACAGGTGGATCCAGGATTTCAGAAGTGGGGTGTAGGAATAGCAACCAGCTGCAGGGGTAGCTACATCCCTGCTTCCAACCTTCCCGTTCGCACCACTGTACCTCCCCCATGATGTGCTCCTGCCTTCAGCAGGGGAGACTATAGTATTCACCCCAGAATACTATAAAGACCAGGCTATACAGAACTCGGCTGATCATAGAAAAGAAGCGCTGGAAAGGACCTCAGGAGGCCATCTAGTCCAATCCCCTGCTCAAGGCAGGATCATCCCTATCTAAACCATCCTAGACAAATACTTTTTGTAATCTTTTCTTAAAAACTTCAAACACCCTTCCTTGTACAACTACCAGGCACAATGCCTGAAACACCAAAAACACCCTCACTTGCTATATGTGGTTAAAGCAAAGGGACAACGGCACTGTTAATGTCCTGACATTGCAAAGAGTTATGTTCAAGGATGAGGACCATGCCCCCTGTTGCAGAAGAAAGCCCAAACTCCTACAGAACTTATCAATATGACTGCGGAGTAAAATGTTTCTTGTCCAAGTGTGAAAATCAGTCTGAGCCTAAGGGGAACAGCAAGACCTTCTAGCCAGGGACCTCTGGGGTTTTTCAGTTCCAGCAGGAGCATCAGCATCTCCATCAAAATTCTTAGTCTTGGGAAAAAAAAAAGCCCTGACATGTAGCACCAGGAAGGGAAAAATATCCTTCCCAGCCCCATGTGGCAACAGCAAATCTAGAAGCATGGCGTAACCAGACCTGAAGACACCTTCCATCTTCATAACCCTTCTCTGAATGAAGCAAAGGGGATTTGAAAGCCAGTCTCCCCCCGGCCGCGAGACGTCTAAGGAATGGAATGGGTGCCACCTCTTCCTCTTCCTTGACTTTCTAATCCCTGCCTTGTGAACAGAGCCTGAAAAACCAAAGCATTTTACTTAAGAAAAAAAAAAGATTTATTTTGACAGTTCCTGTAGTTTTTCGTCTTAACTTTTGTTCAGACCACTTGTGAGAGTTGACCTGAATTCATAAACAATCTTTGGCTGCCCTGAACTGCATTTCCAGTGAATAACTAATTTGTAAAAAAATTAAGGAAATTGTCCTGCTTTAGTTATGAACCAAAGAGCACAGTTAAAAGTAATGAACTACAGTAGGTGGTTTTAATAAGCACCACTTGATTTTCTTTCCATTTTAACATAAGGTACAGGCTGTTCTTTCCACCTCTGGGTTGACTTCCCTGGTGAGACTCACAACTACACAAGACCCTTTTAAAATGAAGCAGGGAACTCCAAACTGGAACAGTCTCTCATCAAAGATATGTACCAGGAAGATTTAAACGCATTATCAAAAGGCAACAAATCACTGGCGGCTCACCAGTCCATGTACAGACAATGTAGGGTTTTCATTTTTCGGGGAGGGGGGAGGGTTGCAATTCAGAAATATTTTATATCTCAAAATAATTTTCTCTCTCATCTGACTGGCTCTCTCATCAACCAAGCTTGCAAAAGTGTTAGTGAATCATTTTCTTGTGTTTCTTTATAGCATGGTCTTCATATAGGGGTGCTTAATGGAAAAGCTAGAAGACTTTTGTACCTGTGAACAAGCATTTGCTTTCTTAGATTTTATTTTTAAGAAGTCGGGTAACTCCTCGTCAAATTGCTTTAGATTTTGCCTCCAAGTCTACCTTGACCTGCCTTACCACATTGTGAGCTGATTTAGCTTTTATTATAAATGTTACTGATGCAAAATTTGCCCTTAAAATTCAAACTCCACCACAACCCAAATGATTGAGTGACAATTGTTGCTCCATAAAGTTTAGAAGATACTGAGTCATTCTATAAAACTCTGCTATTGTAATCTCTTTCTTGGGTCTTTTTTTTTTTTTTAAATACCAGTTTTCTATCCCTTGGTGTGTATCCACTTAGCTTATTTTCTGATGG